TCCTTGATGTCGCGCCCGGTGCCAGGAACCGGTTGCAGGGGTTATTGCGAGTACGAATTTGAAAGGGACGGGACTTTGCGGTTGAAGAAGCATTTTGAGGCTTGAGATGTTGTTGGGTTGAGATATATAGCAACTCAGTGTGAATTTGATACATAGACAAAGGAAACTAATCACTAGGGGCAACAATTAGAGTCACAAAGTGGCTACTTTATTCTGACTCCCATCGTCATTATCGCCATTGTTCAGCATCACTTGCTGAATGGTCTTGGCTAGCCTGAGCTTGTTATGCTTACCATGTCTGTCAAGGAAAGTCGTCAATCTCGCTCGCCTTACTCGAGTCACATGTGCATTTATCACGGCGTTGATCTTTTTGAATTACAATTGACTTTCAGGAACCAGTTTTGACAGTTGCTGAGAAACAGCCATCAGTCAGTGAGTGGGCTACAACGTTGGAAGGCTTTATGAGTACACTTTAATAGTGTTACTTATTCAGCCCTGTTGTCAGTTACTATAATACAGACAGACACAATATTTCTGCAATGTGCATATAACAGTGGTAGAAAACAAACATTTTCATCATATCAATGTCAAAGGCGGCACAATCCGTCACTTACAACCAAAACCACACCCGCTTGACTCAGTGAGGAGAAGCGGAAGAGAACATCCTTGTCGGGGATCCAATACACTGTAAAGAATTGCGACATTATTATGATAGAAAACTCTGAATACCTTGTGAGGTCTGCTTTCTTTTTCGTCTTTTCTTTTCCTGTTGCTCTATTCTCTGCCCTAAATCATGGCTTGATGTTGGATGTAAATCAGTGTCAGCTTTAACACCCACGCTATCCTCCCTTCAATCTAGACTCGTTCAACCCAACAAGACATTCACTCTTTGTGTCTCCAGGGCTTTCGTACCAAGGCGACCCGACAGATTGTGTCATGCTTCAACGCTAACTGTAACTGACCAATCCAATTGATCTACCCCAGCCAGAACTTGCCCCTACGTGATTCCTTTCTGGTTCTTTTCCAGGCCCCATCCCGGGAGCCAGTCCATGTCTCTTATTTTGGGGGCGCTGCTCTTCCGGAAGACTCTCTGAGTGAGCGGGAAAAAAAAGGGCAGGAAAAAAGGTACTTTGATCTACGTACCTGGCTGCGTCAGTAATCATTTTTAGCCAGGACCTGACGGGAGTGCGGATATAGGTACGGCCGGGTACAACACCAGCGTCACCTTTTCTCTCACATCCACATCCATCACATTACGGCCAAGACTACGTCCACCACCATCTTCTCGCCTACACCCACCGTCACTCCCGCCAACCACTACCATCCATCATACTGTACTCACTTGCTCGCTCGTTCGCTCACTACTAATTACACTTGACCTCAACACCACCACTTTTACGACGATAAACGATTTCGCTACATCTCGTCATCGCACCGTTTTCTCTATCCAGTACCATCCGACTGTTTCGCTCTCGATTAGTTCGATACTCTTCCTACCTATCTAGTCAACCTGCATCGACCCTCGTCCTTTGTCTGCCCAGCCATATCCCGCCCGTCCGCTTGGGTCGTCTGCCATATACTCGACAGACAGGTGCCAGCAGCCGTCCGGAATAGGTTGGGTTAGCTTCTCTTTGCAGGCTTTCCCTCCTGTACATTCTCGCGGCCCTCGATCTTGGCCATACGCCCATTCTGTTTCAATGACGAGCCAACCACAATGATCTATTCTGAAATCTGCTTTGCAATTCATTGTCCCTGCTAAGGCCCGTCCCGGTGGTATGCTCGCTAGGCATTCACTCCACCACTCCCACAGGCCACCGTCATCATGGACAAGTCATCTGCCGTCTTGGACGGCACATCTGGCGTCGGTCGTGCGTCTCGTAACGTGACCGACCCATCTGCAACATCCTCAAGCGCAACAAGAAGCCAGAACTCAAAACAATCTTCTGCCAACAATTCTGTAGGCCCTTCGCCCTTGGCCTCGAGAGATTCTTCCCCCACGCGACGTCCTCGAAGGACTGCTTCAGCGAACCGCTTGCCAGGCAATCGATCTCGTAAAAATAGCCAAACCGATAATAGTCCTTCGCGCACGACACGACCAAGTTTGTCTTCCGCTGCTCCATCGCGCTCATTGTCCTCAACCAACACTCCAACACTTACACCTTCCCAAGAACAACAACAACAACAGATCCAAGCACCGACTCCACAAAAGCCAGGCTTTAACGTAGACCTCAAAGACAGCCCGCGATGGCCCGTATCGCCCCGCCTGCGATCGCCTCCCCCCAGTTTAGTAACAGACCAGCAATTCCTGCACGCCTCAGCGAGCAGGATCTTCCTTCCATTAGTGTTGAACGACCTACGCCGTCGCCGCAGCCCATGGAGCAACAAACAATATCAGAGAGCGAGATGGAGGAGTCGCAATATCCATCTGGTATGCGAACTCCAGCTCGCGGAGCGTTGGAAACGGTTCAAGAAGTCAGTTTACCAAACTCTCCCAACCCTCCAAGCGGGTCGGCTTTAGTGGAAAAGGTGAAAGAAAAGTTATCAAGCACCGACAACTATTCTGATACCGCCCTTCCCGATGGACGGGCCCTACGAACAAAGAACAGCTTGGTTGGTCAAGAAAGTGGAAGTGACACCAGCAACAACAAGGCGGAGACAAGAAGACCAACATCCGTTCCTCCACCCATGATTACTCGGCAGTCTAGTGCCATGTCGAATAAGCAAATGAAGTCGAAGCAGGATGGATCCATACAGACCATGACAGTTGAGACCGAGACCGTTCCAAGCGTGCCACAGGTTGCGCTCACAACCGCTCAGAAGAGTGAAGGAACAAATGGAACTCTAAAAACGAAACAGAGCACCGAGACAATAAAACCGAAAAAGGACAAGAAGAAGGTTACACGCAAACAGCCTCCAGTAAACGCAGGAAATGGTGAGCCTGAAAGAGTGACACTGACTTTGAGTGATCTTGCTAATTCGTATGCAGCATCCTCCAAAGCTGATGTTTTCGAGGCAACAATTGCTAGCGCTGTTGACGAAGCAAACACCTCGGATTCTGAAGAGACCTTTGTTTACGACTCTAACCCTCCGGATGGCAATGATCGGGCTGGACGCCGATTTCATTCAAGGACTCCCAGTGCTACATCTATGGCCAGCCAAGCTGATCGCCAGAATCTACGATCGATTTATGGTATGATGGAGAGTGGCGGACCTGCTCATGGACCCAAAAAGACGATGAAGTTCGTCAACACCTTTACCAGCAACGGAAATGAGAGCTTAGCAGTCGAAACCGAGGATGGCAAAGGCTCTAACCGCAGTGGTGGTAGTGGGTCAACACGAGGTACGACGAGACACCATCACCACATTGGTCGCTGGGGTAGACAACCTGGTAACGGCCATGCCTCGTTATTTGATAATGAGTCACCATTTCCGAATGCTGCGAGATCGAAGCTCGCTGGACCTAATTCTCGCAATTCTTCAGGGCCACCGAGCCCGCGCAACGCTCAATCCAACGCTCCGCGCCACTTTGGACATAAACGTTCTGCGATGCAGATGTCGTCCAGTTACGATATGGATGACACGACAGGCGCAGATGATGAGCGTACACCTCTTCTCGGCTCGGTCCGTTCAGGTCGTTCAGGTCGAAACCGTCGTGGGCCGCACAACCTACGACAGGCCGAGTCACAAACTTTTGCAAGACGGTCGTCATACTTGAATCGGTTTGCGGCATGTCTAGTACTTACCATGATGTTCATGCTTGTCATTACTGGCGCTATCGGTTTCATGTTTGCTACTTCGCAGCCCATGACTGGAATCGAAATCACTGCTATTCACAACGTGGTGACCAGTGGCCAAGTATTGATGTTCGATTTGACCGTCAAAGCACATAATCCTAATATCGTTGTCGTCACAATAGATCACGCAAACCTCGAAGTTTTTGCAAAATCTGAGTATACGGGAACAGATTCAGACTGGTGGGCGCGACCTTTCCCTCACGGCCCAGATGATATACGTGTGTCGGATGACCCAGAAAACGACCCTCCACTGGATGACCCCGACCCAGATGACGACCTTAGACCAAACGTTCTTCTGGGACGGATCACGGAATTCGATAGTCCTCTCACTTTCGAGGGCTCTCTTTTTCATCAAGGCACCTCTTCTTCAACCGGAGAGATGCAACTTGAATACCCTCTGAACAATACAGTAGGGGGCTCACGACGTTGGGAACGAATTTACCAGAACGAGTTTGACCTGATCGTTAAGGGCGTGGTTAAATATACTCTTCCGATGAGTGCCCGTATCCGCAGCGCCACTGTAACAGGGAGGAAGGCAGTCAGTCCAAATTCTTCGAACGATCCTTCGAATAGTACCAACGTTGAACCTTCAAACTAGATGGGAGGCTGCCCCAAGTCAGGCAGAAGCCCCTCTAGCCTTTCTTTTGTCAAGCCACCGTTTGTCTTGTGGATTTTGAGCGTGCATCGCATGTCACATTAGGGAGCAGCGGCGTTGGATGTAAACCACCATCCACATTATGGCTGAACATCATAGGGACATGGAGCTTCAAGATTTTGTTTCATTGTTTGGTTCATTGGTTTATAGAAAGGTTTAACACCTATGCTTCGTGTCCGGTGTTTCTTGGGCTGTTTTCACTCCAAGACTTACCTGGTGAGCATGTACAAGTTGTGCCGTGTGGTACGGTACACATTTGCTTGCTGGGAGTAGTCTTCGAGGATGGTTAGGGATGGAGTTATTGCTTTGATTTCGTTTCACAAAACCCATAGAAGGAAAAGCGGCAACTATACGTTGTAATTGTAACGGCTTATGACAACACACGAGAAGAAAAAAGAAAGTCAGATCGACTTGAAGAGGAAGATGTGGATTGGAGCACATATCAAATGCTTCGTAGTTAGGTCGGGTAGAAGAGAGCGATATTCTCGTTGAACAAAGAATTCAACAGAAAGCCTGTTATTGTCATAAAAAAGATATCATTGTAAAATCTACCTGAAAGATGCGCTTCTTATCGTGAAAACGCCAAACGCCATCGCTTTTATATGCCATCCCTGGATCTCATGAGTAGAGCATTCTGATCCCAACTCTTCAGCGTGAGATCATGACAAGTGAATACCCTCCTTGTGGAAAGCGAATAGGGGACGCAGGAAATCGGTCTCATCGCACTTTCTAGATCGCTGATCAGCAAGTTCTGTAACGTCCTGAAGAACTATGCGGATCTTCTCGCGCACCAGTTCAGCCACCTTTGTCTTCTTCTGCTTGCTCTTTGTTTTGGTCTGCGGCCGAGTCTCTCACCTCCTTGAAGAAGTGGGGAGTGTCACCAGCGTCGACGTGCATGCCATTGTCGTCCCCAGCATCACCAAGAATCACCTCAAGCTTCTTCTGCTCGGAAGTTCCTTGAACTCGCTTGGTCACCTCAGCGGCCATACGAGCGTCATATTCCACAGCTATAACCTTCTTGGCGCGTTCCAAGATGCAAACGGTCAAGTTGCACGATCTCAAGAACAGTATCAGTGGGCTTCAGGAAAGCTTTCTCGACAATAGCATCAGAAACGCCAATGTACTTGAGAATATACTGGCCGAAGTTTGCGTTGAACTTGAAGACGTTGCTCTTGGCGCTGGATGTCGCCGCCATTTCAGCTCGGTGCTCGTGTGGTGAGCTTGATGCGCCGCTACGCTTGGCGTGCTATGTCTTTGCCATCTTGGGTCCGCTTCCTTGGTGTATCTCGTAGAGGCATATATCTAGTGGACGTGGGAATTTGCTCTGAAATTATGGCGCTCCCGTAGACTCGAGACAATATCGTGGTCGTGACGAAATGTAGTAGGCGTGAAGCCTCTTGATATTTATATGTTATCGATAAGCTTGCCAATGAACGTTCTACAGGGTCGTTCGTAGAGAGATTTCGGCGGAAAGTGGCGGACTGTGGAGCCTGGAGCTCTCTAATTTTGACCCGCATTTATGTTTTGGACTGCTTCCATCCTCATCTGAGCTTCGCGCGACCTTGATCTTCCCTCTTCAAACCTCGGATTGGAGTCAATCGACACACTCATTCATTCTAATAGCAAGGCAAAGGACTCGCCGCAAGCATGTCGGGGCGACGCGATTTCCTCAATCAGGCTGCCCCTGAGAACTATGTCGCTGGTCTCGGACGAGGCGCAACAGGTTTTACGACACGATCCGATCTTGGCCCTGCTCGAGATGGACCCAGCGAGGACCAAATCAAGGAGGCTCTTGCTAAGCGTGCCGCTCAGCTAGGTCTTGCGCCGGATAAGAAGGGCAAGGATAAAGAAAAGGATGAAGATGAGGGAGGCGACGAAGAACGATATCAAGATCCTGACAACGAAGTTGGACTCTTCGCCGGCGGTGTATACGACAAAGATGATGAGGAGGCCGATAAGATCTGGGAATGGGTGGATGAGAGAATGGACAGAAGGAAAAAGCAGCGTGAAGCACGAGAACAGGCCGAGAAGGACGAATACGAACGAAACAACCCAAAAATCCAACAGCAGTTTTCCGACCTGAAGCGAGCTCTGGCGACTGTTACTGATGATGAATGGGCAAACCTACCCGAGGTTGGCGACTTGACAGGCAAGAACCGGCGTAGCAAGCAAGCGTTGCGACAACGATTCTATGCTGTTCCCGACAGCGTCATTGCGGCAGCGCGCGACTCGAGCGAGATGGGAACAACTGTTATGGATGAGGGCACTTCATCGAGCGCTGGCGGCGGCGATGCTGCAGATGGCACAATGACCAACTTTGCCAAGATCGGCGCGGCTCGCGACAAGGTGCTCAAGTCCAGATTGGAGCAAGCTGGCAGCGATTCTGCTGCGCCAGGTACATCAACTAGTATCGACCCTCAAGGCTATCTCACTAGCCTCAACAAGATGCAGATGAGTGAAGCGCAAGCTCAAGTTGGAGATATCAATCGTGTTCGCGAGCTTTTGCAGTCTGTTGTGAAGACGAATCCCACAAATGCTTTGGGTTGGATCGCGGCGGCGCGACTCGAGGAGTTGGCAGGCAAGAGTGTAACGGCACGAAAGACGATCGACAAGGGTTGTACACAGTGTCCTAAAAGCGAAGACGCCTGGTTGGAGAATATCCGACTCAACAACGACTCTCCAAATGCAAAGATTATTGCGCGAAGAGCTATTGAGGCCAACAACACATCAGTCAGACTATGGGTCGAGGCTATGAGGCTAGAGACAATTCCAAGCAACAAGAAGCGAGTTATTCGACAAGCGCTTGATCACATCCCTGAATCGGAGGCTTTATGGAAGGAGGCAGTGAATCTGGAGGAAAACTCCGATGATGCCAAGCTGCTCCTAGCCAAGGCCACCGAACTGATCCCTCTCTCTGTTGATCTCTGGCTGGCCTTGGCACGACTGGAGACGCCAGAGAACGCCCAGAAGGTCCTCAACAGGGCTCGAAAGGCCTGTCCTACATCACACGAAATTTGGATTGCGGCTGCACGGTTACAGGAACAGCTTGGACAGGGCACCAAGGTCAACGTTATCAAGCGTGGTGTTCAGGTCCTGGCGAAGGAGTCTGCGATGCCCAAGCGCGAGGAGTGGATTGCCGAGGCAGAAAGATGCGAAGAGGAGGGTGCCATCATCACCTGCCAGAACATCATTCGGGAGACTCTCGGTTGGAGCTTAGACGAGGACGACGATCGCAAAGACACATGGATGGAAGATGCGAGGGCTAGTATCAATCGAGGTAAATATGAGACAGCCAGGGCTATCTACGCCTATGCATTGCGGATATTTGTCAACAGTAAAACGATGTGGATGGCAGCAGCAGACTTGGAAAGGAACCACGGAACCCGAGAGTCGCTATGGCAAGTGCTGGAGAAGGCTGTGGAGGCGTGCCCCAAGAGCGAGGATCTATGGATGATGCTGGCCAAGGAGAAGTGGCAGGCTGGCGAGGTGGATAATGCTCGTCTCGTTCTCAAGCGTGCTTTCAACCAAAACCCCAACAACGAGGATATTTGGCTTTCCGCTGTTAAGCTGGAGTCAGAAAATGGCAATGGAGAACAAGCCCGGAAGCTTCTGGAGATCGCCCGTGAGAAGGCTCCCACAGATCGTGTATGGATGAAGAGTGTTGTGTTCGAACGAGTGTTAGGCAACATCGAGGCTGCTCTAGATCTTGTCCTCCAGGCTCTTCAGTTGTTCCCTGCAGCAGCCAAGCTTTGGATGCTCAAGGGACAAATCTACGAGGACCTCGGCAAGACTGGCCAAGCGAGAGAGGCCTTTGCTACCGGAGTCAAGGCAGTGCCCAAGTCTGTTCCCTTGTGGCTTCTGTATGCCAGGCTTGAGGAGCAGGCCGGCCTTACCGTGAAGGCTCGATCGGTGCTTGACCGTGCTCGACTCGCTGTGCCAAAGAATGCGCAGTTGTGGTGCGAGTCAGTACGACTAGAACGTCGAGCAGGCAACACAGCCCAGGCCAAGTCAATGATGGCAAAGGCGCAACAAGAAGTTCCCAAGAGTGGTCTCCTCTGGGCAGAACAGATCTGGCATCTGGAGCCCAGGACACAGCGCAAGGCCCGCAGTCTCGAAGCTATCAAGAAGGTGGACAGCGATCCTATCCTGTTTGTGGCTGTGGCGCGCATCTTTTGGGGCGACCGTAAGCTGGAGAAGGCGCAAAACTGGTTCGAAAAAGCTCTTGTGCTGGACAGCGACTACGGCGATTCTTGGGCTTGGTACTACCGGTTCTTGTGCCAACATGGTACGGAGGAGAAGCGGGCAGATGTGGTGACGAAGTGCGTGCTGAATGAACCTCGACACGGCGAAGTGTGGCAGGCGATCGCGAAGAAGCCCACAAATGCGAGAAAGAGCTGTGAGGAAATACTCAAGTTGGTGGCTGAGGAATTGGAGCAATAGGGTTGTCGATATTAGAGAGGCCGGCAACTGGTGATCACCAGGGATTATACTGATAAATGGATTGGAGTTCTGGACTTGGTTATATGAAACTAATGAGCTTAGACAATATTCTAAACGGTGGATAGTCTTTAAACACCGGATGTCACCAGAACACGTGCGTCTTCTCCTTGTTGACCGTGATTCATTGCTCTTATACTATTGAATTACATTGCATGCAGAGACCCAGAGCTATCACACGGCCAGTCTCATGCTGCTGGGCCATGACCATTCGCCCGCTCAATCCCAAAAGTGATACCCTAGGCTCCGACTTTGATTAAATAAATAATACAGTTGCTTCATCCTGGCTCTTGATTGTCGACAATTCACTTATTTGCCGCCACCGAACCAGCTCGAGATACCGCCCTTGGCCTTGGCGGCTTCCGCCTCGACGCGGTGGTCGAACTTGTCGACCACTCTCATGGCCTCGGCCTTTGCGTCCTTTGCGACAGACTCGACGTTGCTCTTGATGACACCAGCCTGACGGTCGGCTTCGGCAGCCTGCGATTGCGTTAGGATATAATTGCAATGGACTAGGACATGATTGTAAAGTTCTAGGGAATAAACATACAACACCGTCAATCTTGGCACCGGCAGCGGCACCAGCTCCCTTCAGCTCACCCTCAGCATTGGGGGAACGGCCGGGAAGGTGACTCTTGATATCGGCAGCAACGCTATGGGCGTCACCTATTGAGATGTTAGCAGAATTATTGGCATTGGGGATGATTGCGCATACTCTCGGCCTTCTTCTCAGCAGCTCGTGGGTTGCCGCCAGCGGCGTAGAGGTAGTATCCGATACCAGAGACAGCAGCGCCGCCAAGAATGAGAGGAGTGCGGGACTTGGACATTTTGATTGATTTGTAGTTGTTATTTGCGAAAGTGTGTGTTGTGTTGTGTCGTGAGAGTTGAGTATAGAGTGACAAGATGCAATGACGGATGAGGAGATGATGGCTGGGTATTTATTTATTATAACGGAAAGGAAAGTAAGCTCTTTTGGTTACCTCGGAGCTACCTCATAGGTAGGATGTTTCCCTTGCAAGTCAAAATTACTTGGTAGTGCCCCTCTTCTTCGTCAATCAAATTTCCATGTGCTCATATGCGAACCTGGAAAGGATGGTTGCAAGTACATGACGTAACGAGGGCGGGGAGACCAATTGCTCGGATCATGAGGTGATGAGTGATGGCTGAACTGAATGCGGATACGTACTGTAACCTTGGTGGACTTATACTACTAGGGGCTTCAATTGGTGAGCAGGCTATGGACACTTGACGGACAAAGCATTCCCTATGGTGCTATGGTAGAGATATCATGACACTAGTTTTGTTCGTTCTAGTAGTCTAAGATCTTCACTGAAGGTGTAAAGCTCCCTGTGATACAAGATGCACAGAGGCGTATTCCAATCGTTTGTGGTGGTCACATGAAATCCTTCAATTTACATCCAGTTCTTGATGTCGTAATATGATTCACTTCTAGTGATAGAATTGAACCTAGACTTTTTTGTTGATCGAACATTCTACGCTAAAGTGATGAGCCGCCGACGGAGCTGCACCTCATGGATTTCCTCCAGGGAACGGCCCCACCGAAAGATGCAAGTACCCGCCGCAAACCAGCATTACATCATCGAACTTAGTTATTCTTCCTGGGCTGGCTTAAGCTGTGATGACGATCGATCATGAACGACACGGCTCAGTTATATTTTCAGTTGAGTATTTCAATCATTAGCTCTGCGCTTTTGCTTGCTGCCACTTGTTCTTGTCCCTCAACTGAAAGAATTGTATTATTAGCTCATGAAACTTTCCATTAGAGATTTGCTACAATAATAGAACATCATTATCAACACGGAAGCTGCCTCAGCTGAACACCCCCCACAGCCTCCCAAAGCAGGTTGGAGCCCCTAACAGCCAGTAGCGCCTCCTCCAAGTTCACAACGCCATATTGTCTCTCCTAGCCTGCTTTTTGGCAATTCACTTTTTTTCATCTTCTACTTTAATCACAGCGTTATTCTAAGTGACACTCTGATCACCTAGTGTCAACTGTCTCTCCATCGCTGTCTGGAGACGCGGCTAAATACCCTCCCACGTGCCATCACTCGTTTCAATCACCATACGTAATTCATCTCCGCCATCATTGACAACCTAATCAAGCTCTCTCCTATCTGTGGCCGGGCAGTCAGCCCTGGGCGGCACAGCTGCAATGCCGAGGGTCAAGAGCTCGCGTCGTCCCGCGGGACTCAAGCCTACAGATTACGATCATGAAATTGCCCTAGTCGATCACGATGCCGCTGCGACGCCGACAGGGTCAGTTACGCCCGAACCTCATAATATAACAAGATACTCAACAACCTCAAGATTGTTGGACCTCGAGGAGGAACACGAGGAGGAACAACAGCAAAATCGTGACGGGCAAGATGGGGGCCACAAGGACCCATCGAGTAATACACCCAACAATGCTCAAGCCAATGAGCATGACGATTCCCATACTGAGGGTGAAACCGAGACCCGTCCATCATCGAACCGCGTTGAGAACGGCCAACCTTCAACACCTACACAAACAAGACCATCAATTGAAGTCCAAGGTCAGTACGCCCACGATATTGCATCTCAAATTCGTCTGACGTATCGGCAGAACCAACCCCCGACGGCTTTCATGGAGATCATCCGCATGTGAAGCCAAAGAAGCCTCATGTTGAACGCGAGACAGCGATAGACATCCTCTACGAGAACGAAAGGGGCGGTTTTCTCTGCGGCATTCCTTTGTTTTCTTCGCAAGCTCTGGGAGGCCTTGATCCACCTGCTTGGAGTAAGCCGTCAAACCCAGAAACACGATTTACCTTCTTCGAGTAGACATTGACTTTCTTTCTTCAGCCAACGGGTACCATAAAGCTTCACCGAGCAACATTCACAACGCACAAGTTCCTGACCCCACATGGGAATGGGCATGGCCCGAATGGCGGATCAATCATCAAAAAGGTGTCGATGAACATGGCTGGGAATATTCCTTTCACTTTTCAAAAAAGTTTTCCTGGCATAGTGGCAAGTGGTGGAACTCGTTTGTTCGAAGACGTGCCTGGATTCGCAAGAGGGTACGAAAGAGAGCGGAGGACGTGTCTGCCGATCCACACATGCTCAACACGGATTACTTCACGATACGGTCAGCCTCTCACAAATCACCAAAGTCTCGAGCGAGTGTGACTAGCAGTCGTCTAAGTCGCTCGAGTATGAGCCAGATGTCGGCTGCAGACGCGGACGAGAAACCTGCCGATATCGATAACGTAGACGACCTCATGCGCGCTCTTCGACAAGCGAGGATAGACCGGGAGAAGCTTGACGCTGTCAACAATTACATGGAACATGCAACGGACCTCCAAAACCTTCAGCACGAGATGCATGAGATAATGTCTTTATTTGTTTTCCAACAATCACGTCGCATATTGCTCAGCAGATTGATGGAGATTCATGACGAGACGACAGCCCAGATGAAGAAGACTAACACTTCTGAATTACGAGAGCGAAACCAGTCATTGAAGGATGCCGTCCATCACGCTGATGAAGAGGTTCGCAAGCTAGCCTACTGGAGTGATGTCAAGCAAATGGCCGAGAGCGGCGAGGCAAAAGAGGCAGTCAAAGAAGATAAAGGGTGGGATGAAAGTTGGGAAGGTGTCGACCAGAGCGGTGGCGCTCATCCAATGCGGGAAAGGGCAATGGTTGACGGTAAAAAGGAGGCATCGGAGACGTAAATGAAAACGGTTGTCAACTTTCATTTTTGTGATTAGCGAAGAAACATGGGCGTCTTATGGGAAGCAGACAAGGCGTTATTGCATTGGTGCAGCTGGCGATTTGATGCTGGCAACGACAAGCTACTTGGTCATTGCTGTAATACCTTGATGTTTACTACATACATGATTCGTTCTGGTAATCACATTGACATGGTCTTATACACGGGGAGTCAAGTCGAGATATATCATTCGGGTGCCCACGTGATGCAATGGCCGACATCGCGGGTCCGTTATCGCGATAACAGATAACGCCCGCCCGCGCCAATCTTTTTTCCGCCATATTTTGAGACTACCATACCAAGGTACCTAGTGGCCAAGGACCCAGCTCTCAACGAGGGGCCTCTCGAACTAAGACACCTTCGACGATGCGTGACTTATAACAAATGTCCCTGGCGATCAAGTCAATATGGCGGGCTCGGTCGCGATGCTCTGCCTTCTCAGGACCTTTCCCGAAACCAAGGGCCCCATTGCCCTCCAGGATATTGAATCCCTATATGACTATCCGGCTCGAGTCAGCGACAGCGCATCCTGATGGGACAAACTCAACCGATCCTCCGGAAACAGCTCTTGTTGCACTTCCCGAAAAAAACCTCGAAGTGAGCGAGCAACAGCCTGAGCAGGTCATTGCCAGCCTAGTTACAGACGATACTCACGAGTCCCGCAATCGAGTCTTTAAAGATGCCTTCAAGATCGATGCGCCACGAATGGCTGAAGACAAAGATGCCATGAAGCTCTTTAAACCTGTGATTGGGAAACCGCTTCAATATCCAAACGAGCAGGCGAACAAAGCGAGCATGCAGGAGCATAAGCGAGACACACGACGACAGGCCGGCCTAGGTGTGGTCTGGAGCCACTTCGATAAGACAGTTCCGCAATGGATGGAGTGTTTTGGGTTGATGAAGCGCATGACACCGCAATGGAGCGAAAGGGCCAACATGTCGGCTGTAAGGATTGTCCTACCCAAAACGTGGGATATCGAAGTCAACAACCAGAACCTCGAGTACGTCGATTCTGCGACGGGTGTGCTCCAGAAACTGCGGGCAGCGGTGGATCGTAACCCTTCTGCCATTGTGCTGCGTGGACAGAGCAAGATATTGGTCAAGGTGGCCGACGAGATTGTGAGGCATTGCAAAGAAGCTGAAATCTATGAACTGGGAGAAGTGGCGGCGTCGGATTACAAGACGAGGCAATTGTGGCCAACTATTGAAAATGCGCCAAACGGAGGTGCCTCGCTCCCTGATGATCATAACGACAATATCTGGGTGCACAAAGAGTACCAACCTCACTTTATCCATATGCCATACGAGCAGGTCCCACGACCCCCTGTATGGACACATGACAACTTTGAACACTATATCTCAACACTGTGCTATGGCAAAGTGCCTCCTCATCTAGCAATCAGGTTCTACGGCCAGAGGCGTGTGAATGGAAGATATATCGATACGGATGGCATCAGGATTAAGCTCATTGTTGATGCCTTTGAGGACCCTGCTGCAAAACCATTCATTACTGTTCCTGTTTTGAAAATGGCTATTTCCATGATGGCTTTCCGGGGTGGACATCGTGCCTCTGCCAACCGTCTTGTACAATTGGGAGAGGAATTAGGTATTCCCATGGACACCGATATCTGCAACATCATGCTTGAAGGCTACACTCACAAGCGTGATATTGGCTTCTTTTATAGGTTTCTCCGAAGGATGAAGGCGCGCTATCATCACCCCAACATTCGAACATGGTTGCTTTTCCTTCGACTGGTCAGGGGTGAGGACGAGAGGAGGCAGGTCATTGTGGCCATGTACCAACTGGGAATGTTCAATCACCAGGCCACGCGTCGCGGGATCGCCGATGTAATGGCCTCTCTCGATGCATATGCTGCTTTCAAAGCTGGAATACCTCTGAAAGGTTTCATGGCCGAGCAGAAGGAACGCTATGGTGAGGGCTGGCTAGCGATTGATGGTCTCAATGATATTGCCACTGAACTACTTCGCTTCCACCGTCCAGAGGATCCTCGAATCGAAGACTGCAAGAAACTGGTCAACATTTATATCGATTCAGGTCACAGAGTTGAGCTCAAGACCATCAACATCTTCCTCAGCTATGCGGCCCGCTCCCGAGATTGGGATACTGCTCTCTGGGCTATGTCACTCTTCAAGGACGCCGGCTGCGAACCTGACCAAGAGACTTATGGTGCTCTCATGTCACTTGCGGTCCGAACACGCTCCCCACATGCTCTTGGAACTATCTACTTTTACGGCGTCCTCCATCGTCAGCTCCAGAAGGGCTCGAGAAACTTGCTGAGCCAAGTCCTCCTTCGCACACACAAAGACCCCTTTTGGAAAAAGCTTGAGCATCAGCCAGGCATTTTCCCTAGACAGGCAATCCCTGATCTTCGAGCCAACAAGATCCCTCGTCTCTGGGTCGTAATGTCCCGAGTCGAGCGTGTCATCCTCGACAAGTGGGCAGGCTATGTTCCCCTTAAACCCCTCGAATATGCCCTCGAACTCTCATATCGTTCCAATGACCTGCCCATGCACTCCCAGATCAGCGCTGGCAAGCCCGTTCAGGTGCAAGATCTCATCGTCAAGCTTCGCAGAGCCGATGGTCAACCTGGGAAAATCAACGTGCGTCTGAAGGGTCGCTTCGATCCGGCACATATGATTGAGGGTTGGGATGAGTCTCTGGCAGATCCAGACCAACAGAACATAGTACAGGAAGAAGAACCTGACAGTTGGCCTGATGGCGATGATGTTGATGATGATACTCCAAAGCTTCTGTCGGCAGGGCCCGAGACAAACTCAGAATCGCCTAGCGGGGGTCAAGATGGTCCTCCTGAAGGACCAGATTCCACCCCTTCCCCTGAAGCTGCTCTGGGGGAGCTTGAGAGCAAGCTTGCCAAAGGTCGAAGAACCAACTAGATTTGAGCCTTGTTGAATCTGCGAGAAGCGCCACATACAACCCCTATATAACACAGTATCATATTGTCAGCACAATGTATCACTCCACCATGTATATTACATCTCCTTCCAGGATACCTACCTATTTACCTGTACTTTCAAGGGCATCTTATGATAGAAAGTAACAGACATACCATGTACACTAGCAAAAAGCACATTTTAGAAGAGGATGGGCGAGACAGAATCTCTGACATAAATAAAACAAAAACGAAGTTATGATAATACCACAAACATGCACCTCTCATACTAATTTACTGTCTGTCTTGCCCCTGGGATCAGTGCACATGTTCACCACGTTACATGAGTACCATATTTGTGGAATTACAATGAAAGCTCCTGGAAATGCATGGATATAAATGTTTCCTAACTCACGTCTGAATAAACCGAGCCTACCTTTAAAATAAAATAAAAACAATGGGCCGTCAGTTAGTGTCCTGTATATGCTATACTGCCTCTTAACCCCTCTAAAAGCAATCCAACCATACTCGAGCATATCATCCCAGCACTGTGGGCAAAGAAAGCTGGCATTCGCAACGGAAGATTGAAATGAGACTGATGATCTCATGGCGATGTGAAGAAAATGGGAACCCCATGCGTGCGTAAACATCAAAAAAAGGTTTCTCTCGCTCTTCTTTCTTTCTTTCCTTGTATCCGCCTCAGCCCAGAACATGATATCCTTCCCGAGTCTTGCTCTTCTCGTGATGCGCCTCGGCAAGTCGATGAAGAGCACACGATCCAGATCCAGGTTTGACACCAATACACCGACAAGTTGAGATGCAAGACTTAACATGAGAATATCACAACCTCCTTTCGTGACCACCATCTACCTCTTGCCCTTTAAACTTCCCAGAAAGTCGGGATCCGAGAAACATAACCGGAGGTGCAAGGGAGAAGCGACACCTGGGTTGAATTCAGACCCGTAACCCCATATTCTCAGACCACAACCTATTCTTCCTTCTTGATTTCCTGGGCACTGGCCTCCTTCTTCACCTCCTCCGCTGCGTCCTTGTCGGTAGGCTTCGTAACGGTTACATCGGCGGGTTTCGTATCGGCGGAAGCGTTATCGGCGGCGGCGGCGGCGGCGCCAGGGGCGGTTACAGGAGCGGTGTCCTTCTCGGCGGATGACGGGTTTTTGGTGACCTGGCTGGCGAGGTCTTTGTCTTCGTCGGCGTTGTCAAACATCTCTGTATCATCTGAATCCGTAAGAACCTCAGTGCCATCGCCGAGGAAAATGATCCGGCCTCGGTACCCACCAACTCCAAAGCTTCGTCCCTTGTTTTCAGGATCCATCTCATAGCCACTGTCGCTATCTTCAAAGTTGTGGTGGACTCCCGGTCCTCGGAATTCGGCTACAAATTTCATGTCAGTCTCTGTCTTGACGTCCAACTTAAAATCGCAGAACTGGGTTCATTCGTACCGTACTCAGGAGGAGCACATGGGCCATCTCCGTTGGCGACCCGGCGGGCGATCTCCTCGTACCACTCTTCCTTGGTCTTTCCGTTGAGGAAGCCGATGATGACCATGGTCATGTTGTCGCAGCCAACGCCACCAGTCTCAGAGTTGGACGCAAGGCAGTTGTCCATCATGTTCTCGCAAATCTTGTCGAGCTCCTGCTTGGCAGCGATGCCTCGTCGGACGAACTCAACCACGGCTTGGGAGGATTGGCAATCCCAGATACCTATGCTAGTGAGTACTGTTATTCCCTCATCACTCGAGCCGACTTAGCTTACCATCACAAGCAATGACCAGGAACTCATCCTCGTCTGTAAGATCATGTTGCTCAACGTCGGGGTAGGCGGTAACAATTTGGTTCTCGGGGGACAACTCAGCACTCTTCTTGAATTCAAAATCACCAATAGCACGCGAGAGGGCGAGGTTTCCGTTCACTCGGCCGAAGTCGACAAAGCCGCCGGCAGCTGTGATTCGGTTCTTTTCGTCTAGCGGGGATGTCAGCATTATCGCTCGTGTTGCATGAGTGATGTGACTGACTCTCGAGTTGGGGTTTGT